TTAGCCACCCTGAAGCTACAAAACAAGGCAAAAGACGACAAGATCAAGCGTCTACAGCCTAAAAAGCGTTGTAAGGCCCCTCAAGAAGAGCCTGATCAATGGCTATAGAGGATAGGAGACGTTATCCAGGAGCAGATCGAGCATACGGAGGCCGCACGAGTGCTGATTGACCAGCGGGTGGAGAGATGACGACTTTTGCGCGAAGTGCAGAACCTAAAGACCGAAGAATTAGAGGAATCGCCCTCTGAAGACTCCCTCTCCTCTGATTCAACAGATTTAGAAGATCTAGACGAAGGGGTGGTTGTTGACGAAGAGGGCGAGGGGGTGTCTGACGAGCCGGATGATAAAGAGGAAGAGCCCATTGTGATGCGATCTCGGTGCCGAGAAATCTGCCAACCCGCGCGTTACCACTAAAAGCACTAGTATTGCTCAAAACACCAAGAAAAGGCGATTCTTTTGATATATATACATTATCCATAGCCTCAATACCAATAGGGTTATATGTGGGTGCAAATATTGTGTTTTGGTGGGGGAACTGTCCCATCTTGGGGGCTGTCCCATCTGCATGCCCCCGCCGTTATGGGATAGGTTGCTGGGTCCAGGAGCCACTGTCGTGAGCGAGCTCTACGTTGATGAGGCGTCGACGTGTGAGTGCAAGCTGCCATACATCAAGTCGGAGCTCTGTGGGGAGCGACGCAAAGAGCGTGAAAGCGCGGGAATCGTCGTGTCCCGGAGCCCGGTTGAAGATATGCAAGTGCTGTTGCTGAGAAGCCATGACAGGGCCGGGTCTGGAGGGAAAGGATGCGTGTAATGTGTGATGTGTAGAGTCCTCAAGCTGACCCCTCGCCGAGACTTCCAGCTCCCGAGACACGAAGGAGGCCAAGAATCATTATACATGCCGTGAAGCAGGCGCCTCCCTGCAAATACGACGTCATTTGGCCCCAACTCAAAACAACAACGCTGCGACTTGATAGCAGCTGAATATGCTGCATGCAATATACCATACCCCACCCACCACTCGGCCACCCCCACTACTCGGACTGCAAAATCTACTGCCACACACCAAAACATCAACAACTTCACGTATACCAAAATCAGCTATTTTTGAAGGGAATCGCAATTTAATTAATTTGCTGAATAGCTCTTTTCTTAAGGTTTACCCCAATGTAAATCCTTTTAACCAGACCCAGCGATAAGGGGTCCTCCCGCCCGTGGTTTCTACCCCTTATAAGGGCAAATTTGCCCTTTATGCACCCGTTCTCTTCTTCTTCTGTATGTAACGCAGTATCGTGACTCTCAAAATGCCTTCTTATACAGAGGATACTATGGCAGATACTATATTAGATGTCACAGATGACAAGCTGTTGGTCCAAAAATCCGCTCAGAAATGGGGTATCCCTAAGCAGACCCTGTCTGACCGCCTAAACGATAAACTCTCGAAGGGAGAGACGCAGCAGCTAAAAAGAAGACTATCTGTCAAGCAAGAGATATGCCTAGCCTAGTGGATACTTTATCAGAAGTCTTTATGGCTCGCTTCATCGCATAGCGCCGTCAAGGCAATCGTTCAGGCTACCTCTAAGTTGAACGGCATCACTGAGACAGTTGGGAAGAACTGGCTGGATAGATTTCTTCGCCATAACCTCTAAATAAAAACAAAAATTAGCCGCAGACAGAAAGCTGCTCGATTTAAGGGCTTTACGCCAAAGTCTGTCAGCTGGTATTTCGATCATTACGAGGATTTCTATTGGGTGAAGCCTAAGAACACGTACAATATAGATAAGGGCGGTATCATAGCGGGTTTCAGTACAGGAAAGCCCCTGAATAATACCTGAATAATCTTATATTGCCTTTATCCATTAACTAATCAATCTGAGGCTTGATGGTCTCATTTTAGGCAGCGCAGAGACGAAAAAGACAACCCTGAAGAGCGACTAAGGCTGTGGCTGGACCTCCTTCATTGAGGCCATCTCCACTACGGGCAAGGCCTTCACACCAGGCATTATATTTAAAGGAAAAGATCTCCATACCCAGTGGTTCCTTCAGGAGTTCAGAGAGATTGCCCCCTGACATTATATATGCACTGATAATGGCTGGACGGATAACGCAGTTGCCGTGGAGTGGTTAGAGAGTGTTTTCCTCCCTCAAGCCAACCAGGTACGAGAAGATGATAATTCTGAAGTGGTACTCTTGATTCTTAATAGGCATAAGAGCCATATTCTGTACGTATTAACTCCTTTATTTTTCTCAATTTTATTTTGTTTGAAATTAATAGATATATAGCTAACCATTTAGCGGTAGGATGAATTCATAACTATGTGCTTCTTAAATAATGTTCAGCTTTGTTTTCTTCTAGTACACCCCTCCCACGGGCTTCAACTACTTGATAACGGCCCTTTTAACGTCATGAAGGCTGCTTACTGCAAGCATATTGCTCAGTTAGCTACTCTAACTGATGCTGTCCCTGTAGACAAGATCAACTTCATCAGATGCTACTCCAAGACAAGGAACGATGGCCTAACGGTTAAAAATTGTCAGGCTGGCTTCAGAACTACTAGTAATCGGCCTATCAACCGCAAAAAAGCGTTATCACATCCAGAAATCCAACAGGATAAGGCCGCAACCACTGAGCCTGAACAGGTTGAAAATTCAGAACCTGAAGACTTTCAGATGCCCAAAAATAGCCGCCAAATCATGGATATGGGTAAAACCAAGTCCCTAACCACTCGGCTGAAGTTATCCAAGGTTGTGAATGCTTTTGAGAAGCAATCAGCAGAGATAGTGCTAAAGGACCAGAAGATCGAGAGCTTGGAGGCCAAACTGAAGCGTATGCGCCTTAAAAAGCACAGAAAGATCCTCAATCTGAATAAACGCTTCAAAAATATCCCGGATATTCTGACAACTAGTAAAGAACAGCCTCAAAAAGGCCGCAAAGTCGCGCAGCCAGTGGTTGTTAAAGATACCACTGATAAGGAGAAAAAGGATGAAAGCTCTGATTTGGAAGAAGAAGAGATTGTGGCCCCTAGGGAGTGTGATGGTCTGACCTCCCATCAGGTCTGACATCCCATCTGTAGTGGTCAGTGCGCTGCATCAGGTGACCTGGCGCAATAGACGTGTGGCTCCGACTGCCACTAGATTGGGTAATTATGGGTCGGACTGAAAGATCTTCTAGCCCACCAGAATTGGCTGGTGGACCAGATCTTTCTTTCCTTCTTCACCGAGAGATTATTACACGTACATAGTAAAAGCAGGACTTTTACGTCCACTTCACATCTGCGCTTTGTGATAGGGAGACTCGTTTGGGCCGACAGAGTTGCCGGCCGGCTAGATACAATAATTAAACCGCCATAGACGAGTAGATTGCACATTTTAACAGCCAAAAACACCATGAATTGACTGATTTCGCTATAAGTGAAGTTGTTGATGTTTTGGTGTGTGGCAGTAGATTTTGCAGTCCGAGTGGTGGGGGTGGCCGAGTGGTGGGTGGGCCATGGTACCCATGACCTCAGCTTTGAATTTGCTGAAGCTGACGACCTCGACTCGTGGCTTACGAGGCTTGCCCCAACGACAGCCTCATACCAGGCTCGCATGTCAGTCACCATACTTCTCAGCACCAAACCATTCACAGTTTCGAGGTCGTGTTCGTCATCCTCACCACGCGACGCCCTCTCCGCGTCCTACGGGTCGCTTATGATTCCGCCCCCATCAAAAGCAAAGGGTACATGTGGGAGACACAAATGGAAGGATCTAATTCCGAGGGTAATCAGTCAGGTATGGTGGTGTACCTGCTGGACAATCCTAGATTCTGCAGGTGTCCGTCGCCGCGCCGTGTTCGCTCCCAGCGTTTGCTCGTTTTCAGTCTCGCGATGGCCCTGTCGAACTGCTTTTGCTGGCAGCTGCTGCTGATGCTTCCCGAAGTGACTTGTTTTAGCCGACAGCGGCGAAAGCTGCGCCACAGCCCCTTGCAGCCTGCAGCATGCTTCCCACTAAATGTACTGTGCACAGTACCCCCTTGGCGACTATGGTCGGTAGTGCAAGGTTGTAGTTTGTGTATCCAAACCCCAGCATAGGCCCCGTACACTTTCGCAAGGCGTACCCTATTCATAAGGGGGCAGTACCTCTAAAATCAACTTCTTAGAAGATGTAGCTTGGTTTTATGTGCTTATCTAAGAAAATTCACTCGGTCACAACCCCACCACCATATTACCATGAGGTGGCCTGCACAGCGCAACTGATGAATACTAGGGGCATGGCAGGGCTATGCCTAGGATCTACAAGTCAAGTATACAACTGCCGCATCATACTCTCGGCCGAGATGGGTTTTGGAGTTCCAGAAAAGGATATTTCTGGCTGACTTTGACGGCAGCACCCAGATGCATGGCCTCGAGAGATTCCATATTTGCATTTCGTCAGCAGATGCAGGGCAGACCGCCACAGCGTCTGCGGCAATCTAGCCCTTGGCTTCAATTGCTGTCATCCATGTCGCCGGCGTTTTGGGGTTCCGGAAAGGTATGTTTCTGGCTGACTCTGATGGCAACACCCAGATGCATGGCCCCGAGAGATGCCGTCAGCATATGTAGGTCGACGGCACAGCGGCGGCAACAATCTACCCCTGGGCTCTGCCTGCTGTCATCCATACTGTCGACTACACTGTCATCCATACTGATGATTGGGGAATTAGGTTGTCATCCATATAGTACATGACGGAGAGAGGGATCGGTTACTGTACCAAACAGATGATATGACACGATGAGAGAAAGGCTGTATGACCTTTAAGGCATCCTATGACGAAGAGTAGACGACTTTGTGTATGACGAACCCCAAGGCCGGGTACGCATCTCCAATGGCAGAAAGAGTATATAACTCCCAGCCTGGACAACCAAGTTTGACATCACCATACTACATCCAAGAACAACCAGAACACTACTCATACCTCCACTTTCAAGAACCAGTTATTGTTATTCATCAGTTTGAAGCCTTGCAGTCTCAGAACGACGATCTAAATGCGTTTCATGAAGAACCTAACTTCCCTCGTCGTCGGCGGGCTGCTCGCCACATCAGCTCTGGGGGAGCTCTCCCAAGTACCTCGGTAAGAGCAAGTGTTCAGATCCCTTTCGCAAATGTCTGCTAAACAGCTGTAAAGTCGAGCTGCTCTGGATGTCGTCTCACGCCAAGATGCTTCCCAGCTCGCGGCCAAGCGGGCCGCTATAAGAAAACGAGACGACGACTGCGTCAAAGCTCTAGAGAAACGGGGAATGAAGGTGTTGCGTCGTGACCCCGACGACATCGATATGGATGACGAAGATTCCGCAGGCGCCGGTTAAACTCTGGGGACCCAGTAAGTATCACTCACATGGTTACCACTTCATCCAGCTTGAGCGTTTCAAGAACTGGAAAAGCTCCCGAAATGAGTCTTCAGTCTTCGCTGACCGCGGTATAGTGGTCTTTCCACCTGCGTCGGGGTAGCGATAACTGGTAGTTACGACGCGGACGACAAAGGCGACGATAAATTCGTCGGGCACATCAGCGCCGGTGATGATAATGGCGTCATGGACAAGATCAGCGACAAGGTCAACAAGGCCAAGGGCAAGGGGCTCAAGAACCTCAAGGGCACAGTAATCATTCCAGATCCCAACTCTCTGACGGACGCGAAAAAGTGGTCTCAGCAGGATAGGGACGATCAGAACAGCGACGACCAGAGCATTGTCAACGCCATGAATACGCTTACGGGCTCCCAACCGGACGTAAAGTCGCATGACTATACCGAGGCCAAGGGCATAGAGGTCGACGGTCAGGGCGGCGTCAGTGTTACGGATGACGGTACCCTTGACTCCGACGATGCTGAAGGCGACGACGACGATAACTAAGACGCCCGATTGGAAAGGGACAGGCAGAATGACGGAGATCGTTATGCACGCTGGTGGGCGTGCTTCAAGTCCTCTTGGGAAAATGATTGATTGATTGGTTGATTGATTGATTGATTGTATTTATCGTGGGTGTAGTCCCTCAACAGGGCAAACCACGCCTCCCAGAGCCATTGTATCGCAAGGTTGTAGAGGTGTCAGTCTAGATACATTCAGATCCGCGCACGAGCCTATCCTCGCTGTAGCGGTACCAATCTGGAGTGTCCAGATAGTTTTAGTCAATACCCAAGCACGATTCTGTCAGAAAAACCTCCTATCCAATGACAAAGCGACCCAGTGAACCTCAGTCCTCTGGTGTACATATCGTTTTAGTAGCCGTTCGATATATGTCGCATTGGTGGGTGAAATAGGTGTTTATTATCTGCTGGCGAGGGAAACCACAAGGGGAAAAACTTCGCAGGAGTGGGTGTTGTGGAGACAAGCTGCTTGGCTATCGGGCTCTGCGATAATGGGCCTCTCCATTATCGTGTACTGGTTGCACAAGCCGGGTCAGAAGGGGGCCATAGCAGGATTCGAACCCACTTGTTCTCGTCGCCCACCGCACAAACGAGAACACAACCAGGCGCATTTGACCATTGCGCCATACGGCCCCGATCTTTACAAAGTTCAATTTATAACCCGAATGAAATCTCCTATCTTATTTTCAGTTAAACACTTACTTTAAAAGTTGAAATTAAAGTTTATATTTTTTGCGTTTTCCCCCCCCTTTGATTACGAGGCATGATTATAGGTTTTAATCCGTTAAACTACATTTAGAACCTTCACTTTCAAATCAAGTATCATATTTTGTAGTTTTTTATAGTTATTAAAGGTATTAATATAGTTAATCTTAGTTAAGAACGTGACTAACTATAGTACTTTTAATTAAAGCAGTGACAGCCTATATTCTATGAAAAGACCAACTGCTACCTAATTAATAACTAAATTCCCACCTTGTTGAGAAGTTAATAAGGCTTATTTAAAACGTTAAAACGTATAAAGATCATTTTATTTTCTTATAAAATCGCCGTTACAAGGAGTTATAGTTCAAAATCAGTATTACGAATAAGGTTTACGTAGAATTATTCAAGCGCGGTAATAATATAACTTTGAGATCGGTTTATTTTTTTAATAAGATGAGGCTCGATAACGTTTGTAAATGTTTATTTAAGCTAGCTAGTATTATTTATAAGCCCGTAGTTTTATAGGTTTATCATCTTATTAAAACATAATGAATTGAAAGCTAAAGACTATAATTATTAAAGTCATCTTTGTCATTTTATATATAACGTGGCGGTATATATTTAGACTGTTTTCGGCTACTAACCGAGTTAAATATCGCAATCCCTTACTTAATAAGTAATAATTAATAAAATTTACGACTGAAAACCTTTACATTTAAAATATATACGTATTATAATAACTAAAGCTTTTATAAGCTAATATTTAAATACATTAACATCGTTATTAATTAAATACGGCATAACTAGCTATCGAAAGAAGGCAACGTTGCTTCTTAAATTCTTTCGCCCTTGTTTAAAAAAACAATCTTAAGAGTTTTTTTTTAATAAGGAGTTATGTCATATAATTCAAAATTGCGACCTATAAACGCCATTAAACTGATTTATATTTAGATAATAAATCGATATAGTTAAATTATTTATTATTTAAATAATAAGTAATTTTATTATATGCGTTATTTTAATAAGATTAATAAGATTAATAAGATTAATAAGATTAATAAGATTAATAACATTAATAACATTAATAACATTAATAAGATTAATAAGATTAGTAGGATCAGTAGGATTAATAGCATCAATAGGATTAATAGGATCAATATGATTAATAGGATTAATAGGATTAATAGGATTAATAGGATTAAGAAGTTTAAGAAGTTTAAGAAGTTTAAGAAGTTTAAGAAGTTGAACCTTTTTCCGGTTATTCTTTTGAGAAGACCGATTTTGTAGGCGTACGAAAACGATTGTTAATAATTAAACAGTAACTACGCTATATTATACGATACTATAATAATCGGCTTATAAGTTATTTACGCTTTCTTATATTGCTTTTAAATTATTACGCCGTTTTTTAAACGCACTTTTAAAGCAAATCTTTTTAATGATAAAATTTGAACCTTATAACGATAAAAATATGAAACTTATATTCATAAAATAATAGCGTTTGCTTTTTATCAGTCGTCTCAAATTGCAACGTGTTAATTGGTAAAACACGACGAGTTTAACATATGTTACAACCTTTTTCTTGTTTTTATTGTTTCCCCTTTTTAGCGAAAATACACTATAAAATAGTTTTAAAAAGCTATTATTAAATTTGAAGTCATGATCAACAGTTAGAATAATTTGAAGACTAAGGCTAATTACGGAGAACGTAATCGCGTATTTATATATCTTAATATATCATATAATGCTTGTTTAACGGGTTTTCAAGAATAATTCAAAACCTAAGTTTGATATTATAAATCACGAACATCGAGTTGAGTAGTGAAAATATAACGCCTTTTACGTCTATGCATGGGTAAAGCGATAACGCGTTTTACAAATGTAAAACTTTACATTTTCAAAAGGATTACGTAAGCCTACAAAGTAAATGCGTTGATGTAGTTGATTTTTCTTAAAAACCAAGTAGTTAATAAATATTTTAACGCTTGATACATTTTCACGTTCTTTATTTCACGTTATTTATTGATATTTAAATTAAATAATTTTTTTGGAAAAATTTCAAGTTATTATTCTTTGTTTAAAATAGAGTACAAGAGTTCAGCGATTTAAATGTAACGATAAGAACAACACGATAAAACTTTTATTATAGAAAGATTACTGTTATTTCAAGGGTAATAATAAAGTATTTTAATACAAAAATTTAAATAAAAAGTTCTAAAATTATTGATATTAAAAAAACCCAAAACAAAATGATACAAAAATATTAAAAAAATCGAACCCTGTTGATAAACTTAAACCCGTATTTTGATAATTTATATAGTCTATTTTTTTCTCTCGCTTCTAACGACGCATTGAAGGCAAATGAGTCAATAAAAAAGGTATTTCATTTTATTACGAAACGTAAACATTAAATATTAAAGTTTTCCAATTTTTTCGTAATTTCAAAGTAGATAATTAACAAATATTTTCACGGTAGAATAACTTAATAATCCTAAAGTAATATGTATTTAAATATATAATTAAAACTTAAATAAGTGCCATATGTTCTTACAACGATTTATTCAGCGGAAGGTTCTCGTGGTGTACGTTATTAAGTTCGATTTTATTATTTATACCTAGTAAAGCTAGCGCACTTTTTCAAAAGTTTAAAAAAGACTATTCGTTTAAAATATCGTAGATTTTCCGTTTATTATATATTAACATTTGAAAAGGCAGTTGTTTTATCTTTTTCGTTATTGAATTTTATTATTTATACATAATGATATGACGTGCGAGCTTTACGTAATATATATAAGAGTTACGTTCGTTATAATAACTTATTAAAACTTGTAGCGATATATTAAACGAATACTTTTTATAGTATAGGTTATTAAGTTTAAATCTTTACACGAGTAACTACCAGGGCTAGCGTATGTTCTCTATTTTCTAATATTATGAGTAAGTTTATATTTTCATTAAACATAAGTACTCTTTCCCTCTCGTTTAAAACTATACAAAATCCATATCAAATAAGCGTAACATTATATATCTTATTTTATTTTATTTTATTTTATACGTATAAATTAGTTAAATATAATAAGATCAAAGGTTTAATAAAAAGTCAAAAGAATGACTGGTATAAAAGCTAAACCTTGAAGCTCAGAACAATAACTAAAAAATGCTAATATAGCCTTTAACTTTAGCCTAACTTTTTAATTACGTGGTTAAAGAATCCTTTTTTAGCCCGTGTACGTATTTATTAGGCTGAGATGATTAAAATAAGCGTGAATCTTGATAATAATAAAATTTCAGACCTTACGTTACGGAAAACCATTACTATTACCAGTTATTTAAATGTTAAATAAAAGTTAAAACCTCTATGCTTTTTAACTTAAATAGACTCGTTTTATTTCAAATACTTCGTATACAACGTTATGATTATTAAATTAGCGCTTCAAATGACGTTATAATAATCTAATAAAACCAACCTTTACTTACGCGTATAAAACAACGGCGCCTTATTAAGCAATTAAAGTAAGACCTTCTTACAACTATAACAAGTCTACGGTAATTATTAAAACACGTTACATCTTATAACAATAAAACGCTTATAAGACTATACGTTATAATATAATATAGTTTATTTACGTAATTATGTCGCTTTTTTCGAGCCATAAAAAACCGTTATATTAGTCGATTATGTAATCAGCCTTGCTTTTAACGAAAATGTTTTATAAGAAGATTAAGGAAATCGTTTATAATTATAATATTAAAGATTATATTACTAACTAAACTTAAAGCTAGGTAAATTAGCTCAAAGAAAGCCAAAAACAATAGTATTAAAAGGAACAACAAACGTCCAGATGTATTTATATTAAATAATAAATGAAGGTATAATTAAAAAGCGTTAAAAGCGATATTGGAATTTAAACAAAATAATATAGTTTACGTGTATATAATAAGGTTTGTTTAATCGCGTTATGTTTAAATGGAAAGTTTTCAACTTTAATAGATTGTTATAAGCAATAATGTTTTGTATTATTTAAAACTTCTTTTCTTCAAGTATAGAACTTTCCTCTTTTTAAATAACGACTAAAAAGGTAAAATCGAGTAAAGACTTATAACATAAATGTAGAACGCGTAAAAAAATCGTTAGAATAAGTAAATTAAAGTTTTTTCAATAATTTATTATTATTATTAAGCCTTGAATATAGCTTGAAATTATTCTATTACATATTCATTATATATTTATAATAGGTACATTTCAAGGTTTATAACGGTCGTTAGCCGACTACGAATTAA